TATGATGGGTAGTGGCTTAGCAACTTCATCTTGTATAGGAGCTGCTTGAAACTTTTTGTCTGGATCTTCCAGGTAGATTTATATTATGAAAGTGCCTTACATTACTGTCCATATAGCTCTAGGTGACACCTCTCTTTCTCTTTGTCCATCACAAGGTTGAGAACGAAACGAACCAGCTCCAGGACGGCTCTCTAATCGACCTGTGTGGAGCAACGCTGCTGTGGCGCACTGCGGAAGGGCTGGCACGCACTCCTACTGTCAAGCACCTGGAGGCGTTAAGACAGGAAATAAACGCGGCGAGACCCCAGTGTCCGGTGGGCTTTAACACCTTGGCATTTCCCAGCATGAAGAGAAAAGATGTTGTAGACGAAAAGCAGCCATGGGTGTATCTGAACTGCGGTCACGTCCACGGCTATCACAACTGGGGGAACAAAGAGGAGAGAGACGGCAAGGATCGCGAGTGTCCCATGTGCCGTTCTGTTGGCCCCTACGTGCCCCTGTGGCTTGGATGCGAAGCGGGATTTTACGTGGATGCGGGACCTCCGACTCATGCGTTCAGCCCGTGTGGACACGTGTGCTCAGAAAAGACAACTGCATATTGGTCCCAAATTCCTCTCCCTCATGGTACTCACACTTTTCACGCAGCCTGTCCCTTCTGCGCGCATCAGCTGGCTGGTGAGCAGGGTTACATCAGACTCATTTTCCAAGGACCTCTCGACTAACACCCGTGTTACCGAGGGCTGCGGTAAACTGATAAGCTAAGCGATACTGATTTTTAAACCAACTGTTTTTCGTATTCTCTGGGCTTTGCTGGTTTGCATTAAGATGAAGAATCTTTGGGTTTTTGTTACAAAAGCTAAATCCCTCTCTGTCGGAAGTGTCTGGAAATGGAAGAAATGAGGGGAGAAGGGGGAGAACTCCTGGGTTTTTTTTTTTTAGTTAATAACTACTTCTGAGAGGTGAAGGAAAGTGTTGTAGCGTGAACTTCGATGCCTTCTGTTTAATGGTTTTTTTGAATCACATGCCCACAGTGTTGGAAAGTTGTTTCATTCTTTTTGTATATGGAGGGTGAACAGTTCAAAGAACATTAGTTTACAGCTTGGATGCAAACGTTGTAAAATATAATGTGTATATTAACTCTTTTCTATTTATCTTTATAATTGAAAATACGTAGAATGTTTAGAGAGTAGCATGGTCATAGTGTGTTCATCCAGCATAGAGTAGTTCTGGATGGAGAAGGACGTGAGATGGAAATGGTAGAAAAATCTTTTTTAATCTAAAATACTGAGTTCTTAGAATAGTTAAAGTGCTTTTTAAACCAAGCTAATGCAAATTATGATGGCATAAAGGTGTGCTTTAAGCGTGTTGAGAGGTAGCTAAGAAGGACTTCTTAAAATGTCTTTTTGGTAGGACTGTGCTGAAGATCTGGTTACGAGAAGAATATTTACCAGACTCTTTGAATATGCAACTTAGTCTAGGTTAAGGATTTTTTTTCTCCCTTCTTGCTAACACATCTCTTTATTTAGCATTAGTGACCTTTGTGAGGATTTTTCCGATGTTAAACATTAACAAACCTGAAAGTCGAGGCTCGTTTTGTTCCTTGCTGTTTGGGGGGTGAGGGGAGAGGCGGACGCACCTGTGCTCGTGTGGAGAGCAGGGAGCAGTTTGTCAGTCAGCCACAGTCCCAACCTGTGACGGGCTCATCAGATGTTCTGCCTTTCTTCTGGCCCCGTTGCAGACTGTCACCCGTGGGCACGTGGCAGCCCTGGGCATCACGTGCTGGCCTCTGCCCTGCCGTGAGGTGCAAACGCTGGTCTAGGCCACGCACGGAGCAAAGTCGAAGCCCGGTGCCCGAGGGGTGCGTGCCTGCCTCCTGGCATCCACGTGCAACACGTTGCAACTGGCAATCCGTTAGGGGGGAGCTTGAGCTGGGACTGGAGCGCACTGGTAGACCTCTGTGTGGGATGCTTGCCTAAGGTCTCTCTCTGCTCTCCCTTCCCACCCTTCCTTTCCCTCTGTATCCACCAGAAAAGGCCAGTGCACTACATCCAGCTTTGCTGCTAGCCCACTGTGCTTCATGGCAAACACACAACCTGACCTTTTTAGGATTGAGTTGAGCTTTTTTTGGCCAGCGTCATACTTTTTTTTTTTTTT